ATCTGCAAACTCTCACGTGCTTTATACACAATGGTATAGTATTTACCTAGAATCCACACACATCCTCCTGCATACTCTAAACCATCTCTAGATTACTTACAATATCTAATACAATGTTAATGCTATGTAAATAATTGTTATACTGAATTGTTTAGAAAATAACAAGAACAAAGTCTATAAATATGCAATTTTTTTCAAATATTTGCAATACACAGTTGGTTGAATGCAGGGCTATGGAACCCAAAGACATGGAGGGTCAACTGAGTGTCCTTTTAAGCTGCTAACTTATGTAGCAATTTGTTAGAGGCAACAGGAAACTAATATGTCATCCCTGCATTCAGTTAGCTCATGGTCTCATGGGAAAAGAGTATCTATCTAAAGGTTTTGTTTAAAACAGATGGGTTTTTAAATCCAATGGTTATAAACTTTAAAAAATTAAATTGAAGAAAATGAAATCTGAAAACAAAAGTTTGTCTTCAGTCCTCCCCTTAGCAATTCTTGGCTTCCATAATACTCCAATATCAATCTTATAATCAAACATAACTCTAAGTCTTTTTATATGAACTGTTAAAGAGCAGCAAAAAGGAGTTAATTTGATAAGTCCTTCATTCAACAAAACTACTGATCAGATATTGTATTTTCCCTCTGAAAATTCTCAACCTATTTTAAACTTTTTAAATCACCAAGAATCATGTCCACCACAGTTTATAAACTCCAGATTAGGGGCATCTGAATGAATATAAGCTTTTTTCACAATATAATATTTTAAGTAAATTTTTTGTTAAAATATACGGGGGGGAGGCTTTTAAGCAGTAGACTCACCCTAGTTATTACCACTGAGATTGAAAACCTGAATGCCTTAGAAGCCCCTTCTGTGCTTTCCCACTCACCAACTCCATCAAAAGGGAGCACAAGAGGCAGGATAGCAAGTTCAAGGCAAACCCCCACAACTTTGGGAGACCCTGTCTCAAAATAAAAAATGACTGGAGGTGAATGGAGCTCAGTGGTAAAGTGCCCCTAGTTTCAATCCCTAGTTCAGGAAAAAAAAAAAAAGAAGGAGGAGGTAAGAAGGAAAGACCACTAGCCTGAGTTCGGCCACTATAGTTTGTTTTGCTTGCTTTTGAACTTCCTATGAATGAAATCACATAGCACTTATCCTGGTGTATATTCTTTCTACCCACCTCCTGTTCTGAGACTCTTCCAAATTGTTGTATGAGGCAATAATTTGTCTACCCTCATTACTGTAGAGTATTCCATTGTATAAACAATGTCTTTTATGCATTTATCCATTCTACTATTGAAGAACATGTGAGTTTTTTTTCCAGTTGGGGCCTACTGTGATAATATTGCTCAAGTTATTCTTTTACCTGTCTTTTGGTTTACATATGTATACCTTATTTTTGAGTGTCTAATAATGGAACAGCTGGATCATAGGGGATGTACATACCCCACTTCAGTAAATGATACTGCAAAACAAATTTCCAAGCCCTTATGCTACCTTTCATACCCATGAATTAGAATTCCAGTTTATCCACATTCTAATCAGTGCTTAGCATTGACAGTCTTTAATTTTAGCCATTCTGGTGAACATATAATGGGATCCCACTGTAGTTTTAATTTGCATTTCCCTAATTCCTAGTGAAACTTGTTCATCTTTTCATTTTTTATTAGAAATTTGGAGATCCTCTTTTATGGGGTGACATTTGCCCATTTTTCTTCAGAACTATCCAATTGTTTTTCTCCTTTATTTATAAATCTTTCCACAATCTAGCTATGAGTTCTTGATTTTGAAATATGTATTACAAATACCTTTACCCATTCTGTAGCTTGTCTTCTCTTTATGGAGTTGTTAGATGAATGGAAGTTCTTACTAATATTTTCCTTTAACTATTTGTATTTTGTGTGTCCTAGGTCACAAGGATATTTTACTTAGCTTTCTTCCAGAAACCTATTGTTTTAGCTTTCACATTTCAGTGCATGATGGCTCTTGACTGATTTTTGTATATGAGATAAGGAAGATGATCAAGATTAATATTATCCAAATGAATTTCCACTTGACTCAGCATCATTTACTGAAAAGGCCATTTTCTCTCCACTACAGGGTCATCTCTGTCATGAATCAAAAGATCACATATATGTAAACCTATTTGTGGATTCTCTGCCTGTCTGGCCTTGTACCAACACACATTGAAATAACTACGTATTGATCTTGCAGCTTAAGTTCTCCAATTTTGCTCTTCTTAGATTGTGTACAATTTCCAAATAAATTTGAGAATCAGTTTATCAACTTTTTTGAAAAATATTAATCTCTTGGGATTTTGATTTTGATTGGCATTGCACAGAATCTCTAGATTTGTTTATTGAGTGATGACACACTCTCCATTATTTTCAGTCTTCTTTAATTTTCCTCAGTGTTTTAGCTCGCAAAGAATTTTTTTTAATCATGAATGGGTATTGCTTTTTATCAAACTTTTTTCTCCTTTATTCTGTGTATGGAGCTAATCACATTTATTGGTTTTCAAATGTTAGACAGTCTACATTTCTGGAATAAATCCAAGTTGTTCATGATTTATTGTTCTTTTTATAGGTTGCTAGATTTGATTTACCAATACATTGTTTTAAGGCTTCTGCATTCTTTTTTATGAGCACTTGGCCTATAATTTTCTTGTAACTTCCTTATCAAGCCTTAGTCACAAGCTTATGCTGGCCTCATAAAAGCAACCAGGGAGTGGTTCCTCTTTTATTATTTTAAATGTTTGGAGAATTTCATGAGTGAAGCCATCTGGATTTGGAAATTTTGCTATGGAAGGTTTTTATCTATGATCAATTTCTTTAATAGATATAGGCCTATTCAAATTTTCTAGTTCTCATATCTTTTTATTTGAAAAACTTGTCCATTTCATCTGAATTTTAAAATGTTTTAGCATAAAATGTTCATAGTAACATCTTCAGATCTTTTTATGTGTGGAATATATAATGATTAGTTCCTTCTTTCATGACACTAGTAATACTATATACCACTAAAGATCATTTACACACACAAAAGGAGGAGGGGGGCTGGTATATGTCGCATATCTACTATTCTCGGGTATATTACCCAAGAAGCCATTAGCTCATACTTTTTTTTCTCACACATCTTTATTTTCATAAATCTCTAATTTAAAATCACTATTTCATTGGATTATAAGTGTGGACAACAAACCACAATAAGAGAAGTTCTAGCGATTGAGTCATCAATAAAAAATCATAGATATGTTCATACTACAGTCCAACTGTTGCAAACACTGCAAAATATCATTGACATGAACATCACCAATTTGAAAGTATGAGACTCCATTGCTTCAGCACTGAATTTTGTTACATAATGCATTAATGAAGATGCACATAAATTTGATGAGGTTTAATACTATTTTGATAATTTTGTTTGAGTATCATTTATAATCCTATGACTTTTCTATAAGTTTTTTGCAGTAGCAGAAATTGAACCTAGGGCTTCACACTCTGAACTACATTTCCAGAACTTTTTATTTTGAGACAGAGTCTCCCCAAGTTACTCAGGCTGGCCTTGAACTTGCAATCCTCCTACCTCAGCCTCCAGGTATGCACTACCATGCCCAGTTATCATATGTAATTTTTTTTCATGCCTTTTAAAACACTGACTTCCCAGACTCCAAAGAAGTCCATGGTCAAAAGGAAAAAAAAAAAGAAAGAAAGAAATTTAAGAACTACCTACAAGGGACCCAGGAAGTTCAAAGCAACATTTAAGGAGTCCTTCCCCTTGGGCCAAGCCCACACTAACCAGTTCTTTATGTTACCTACAGAGTTCCCCACCAACATCTGGACACCCTCAAAAATGACTGCTTCATTCAGGTCCTTGGCTGTCACCTATCCAAACTTCTCAAGAAGGGAGCAAATAGTAGATAAAGCACAGGCTTTGATCCAATGGAGGAGCCCCAAACCCAGTCTAAAACATACTACTCTGTGGTGTTCACATTCCCTCCAAGCCCTGTAAAAAGGATAAGCTACCCATCTTTCCCAATTACCATAAGATTTAGACATAATTATCTAAAGCACATGCCAAGCATCATCCCCCTTAATTTGACATTAATTGCATCTCTCAGGGCAGAACTGTCCTTATGCAACACTTAATAACATTAGGGACTGCCAGTGAGAAAAAAGGAAGAAAAATCACGGGGAAGGTGGAACATAGAGAATGTGGGGGTCATTCTTTAAAATCCAGTATAAAAATCACCACCTCACTGAAGCCCTCCTTCTCCTGTCGGGTGTTCTTATGAGATTTAATCACACTCTGGTGAGTGCTTAGCTACAAGAAAGGAAGGATAAGAAATACAAAACAGAAAGGTGCAGAAACAATGACTCTCCCCTCACATAAGGCAAACCACTGAACATGCCAATCCCCAGCCAGGCAGCACTGATCCAAGTGCAAGGAACACGGGAAGCATCAATTGTTCTTAACACCAATGCCACTCCTACCTAGTACCTTGGGTAACAAGAGCATGTGGGGAACTTTCTTATAAAGACTGGTGCCATCTGAATGCTAGACTCAGAACAGAAGAGAGAAACTGAGTCCGAAGATCAGAAAGCAAGACATTCCTAACGTTGGGGTTCCTAGATTTGCAGCAGGCAGGCAGGCAGGCGCACCCCTAATACTGCCAAGAGAACCAGGGTTCTGCAATTTCAACAACAATGCCTGAAATCGCGGAGAGAGGACGCGGGCAGGGGTGTGCACGGACTTGGTACGCAAGCCCTGTTCCAGGCTCCCGGATTCCGCGCGTTTGCCAGGCGCGCAGTCCCCGCCGCCTTTGTCTCCTCCGCGGCACCGGGAACTTCCTCTGTCCCGCCCTCCGGCGCGCACACGGGGACCGGGTTAGGATAAGAAAAGCGTCTTGTTCGTTTCGCTTTTTCAACCGAGCAAACCAAAGCAAAAAAAGTCAGCACCCTAACCTCCCCAGGACTCCCTACGGTCACCAGCTACCAACCTCCGGGGCTGTCCCGGGCGGCGGCGACCGCGATGTTCCCGCGCGCCACGAGTTCCCAACACCCCTCTCTCGGCACTTCCGAGTGCCAGCGCCAGCCAGCTTCCCCGAACACCGCCCTCTTTCCCAGGGAGCGGCCCTCTGGAGGAGCAGCCCGCGCGCGTCCTCGGAGCACGCCCCCGCCGCGGTGCCCGCGCGCCCTCGGCTCCAAGCGGCGGCTCACGGGAATCCGGGCGCTCCAGGGGCGATGGCTAGGAGGCCCTGCTGCCGGAAGGGGACCCGCAAGAGGGCGGCCTGCCTCTCCGTAGCAGATCGCGCCAGCTCTGTCTTGCCAAGGCCCGGGTTCCTGCGCTGAGCAGAGCACCCAGATCTCTCCCTTCGCCGCGTGTTGTTTGCAGGTCTGGGGCTAGCTTCGGGTCAATTGCAGGGCGGATGTCACCTGAAACCCGAAGTGGACAGTAAATCCAACACCAGTGGTCCCCACGTACGTTTTGTAGGCGAAAGGAGGTAGCTTGGTGGGGTGGTGGAAAGAGGGAGAGCTCTGCAGCCCTGGCAGCTTCACAAGCTTTGCCCTGTGAACTTAGCCCCTGTGAGTCTCTCTGTCATTTGTTAAAAAAAAAAAAAAAAAATGAGAGTGAAGATCAAATGGGAACAACTTTATGAATTGTCAAGCAACTTGCAGAGAGCACTACTGCAAACAGATTTTGAATGAACTGTGAAGAGTGGACAATCTGAAGATGGCTCAAAGGATGTAATTAGGACGGTGACTTTTACGTTGAGTGTTGATGCTCAGAGGCCTCCTGTGCAGATCTGAGGAACAAAACTGCCTGACTTCTGCAGATTTATAGGAGCAGAATCACCTGGGCTCTCATTAAGACCTGTTTCTGGTTTCTCCCAATAAGGAATCAGAGTTCCCAGGTGTTTTTCTATGGTGAGCTAGGAATGGATAACTCTGCCTGGGGCAGCAGGAAAACAAAGGTTGTGTTGTAAGAAGCTTAAACTACCAGTCATTATGAAGGTCCAGGGATTGTTTTTCTGATGGCAGAATTCTCCTGAAATCCAGAATTTGAAGTCAGAATTGGAACTATCTTGTATGTCACCCTCCTGGGCCCCCAACGCCCAGTTCAAAGGACAATGTTCATCTGACAGGTGCTAGTAAACAAGCCCCAGTGAGAGACAGGTGTAGCCAATAAAGAGACAGGCTACCCAGCTGAAACTGAATTTCAGATATACAACGAATAAATTTTACAATCAGTATGGACCATGCAATATTTGTGACATATGCTTGTGCTAAAAAAAGGAAATCTTCTGTCTTTTATCTTAAGTTAAAATTTAACGGGCATCCTGCTATCTGGAAATCAAATTCAACTGTTTTTTTTTCTTTATTTACATTTTTTGTTCTAATTAGTTATACATGACCGAACGCATTTTTGACACAATCATCCATAAATGGAATATAACTTCTCATTCTTCTGGTTGTACATGATGTAGAATCACACTTGTCGAGTAATTATATATGTACATAGTTCACTGGGTTCTTATCTGTCAACTCTAGACCCCAGGATTTAGCAGGGGCGTGGCAAGGTATGAGCTCAGGGCGTGGCCAACTCAGGGAGAGAGATAACAGCTCCTGTTATTTCTAAGTGATGCTATTGGATATTAATGTTGGTTTGTCTTCATTTATTTCTTTTTTATTGTCATTATTTATTTATTCTAATTTGTTATACACGATGGGAGAATGCAATTCACTTCATATTGCTTACGTAGAGCACAGTTTTTCAAGTCACTGATTGTACATAAAGTATTTTCACACCATTCGTGTCTTCATACATATACTTAGGGTAATATATTCCCTGCATTCATTCCACGGTCATTCCTACACGCTTGCCCCCTCCCTTCCCCTCTCTCCCCTAGGCCCTATCTAAAGTTCCGTTGTCATTTACTTCTAATTACAGAATGGGGAAAGCATTTGCACTAAAAAAGGAGGGAAGGAAAATTAGGAAACATATATTTCGCAAAACCCTTGAAGAAATGCATAGTAAAATATGAACACTGTTTTTCACATATAAAGTTGACCAAAAAAAATAAATGAGGGGAGTGGGTTGTAGCTCAGTGGTAGCACGCTTGCCTAGCATATGTGAGGCACTGAGTTCTATTTTCAGCACCATTTACAAATAAATTAAATAAAGGCCCATCAACAACTAAAAAAAAATTAAAAGTAATAAATAAATGAGGGCTGGGGTTGTGATTCCAAGGTAGAGCGCTCTCCTGGCATGCGTGAGGCACTGGGTTCGGTTCTCAGCACCACATGAAAGTAAAATAAAGATATTGTATCCACCTATAACTAAAATAAATATTTTAAAAATGACTTTAAAGTTTAGTAAGGGTGATTATGGTAGCAGTCACCACACAACTCTTAGGTACACAAGCAATTTGACACTATCAAAACACTTAAAATATATGAAAATCCTCAAAAACATTCAAACCTTTTTGACTATCAATTTTATTTATGAGAATAAGTCCAAAGGAAATAATCCATAATGTAGAAAATATTTTTTCAGTTTAATTGAGGCATATATTCAAGGTATACAACTGGATATTTTGGTATATGCATACGTTGTTAAATGATGAAAATAATCAACCTAATTAGCCTCCATCACCTTGTTTAATTAACTCTGTATGTGCATGTGTGTGTGTGTGTGTGTGTGTGTGTGTAGAATATCTGATATTGAGAGTCACAGTTTAGTCGTCTGGCATTTTTGCCAGAGGGAATGGTTGAAAGGTGACCCTGCTCCTGGATTAGGTCAGATCCTGCTGGGAATAGGGCGGCTCCAGAATTAGGGCGGATCCTGCTGCCTCTGCCCTCCCCCCCCAACTTTGGAGTTCCCGTTGAGTGTTGAGTTCTCGGGTTCTGAGAGAATTGGCCTGCAGAGCCTGGTAGAGGCAGTGTGTTTCCGGGAAGTGTGTGTAAAGTGCCAGTGACAGTTCGGGAATAAAGGTTGCTGTTTGAACCTACAAGGCTGTGTGGTGGCTTGGTTATTTTGTGCCCAGCAAGACTGTGGCAACCTGAGACCTGTTCTCAGTAAATTTCAAGTTTACCATATATTATCAAGTATAGTCACTATGATGTGCAGAACTTATTTATCTTATAAATACAAGTTTGTACCCTTATGGCCAGTGGCCAATATGTTCTCATTTCCCCCACCCCCTCACCCTGGTAACCACTGTTTTATTCTCTTTCTGTGAATTCAACTGTATCAGATTACACATTTAAATGAGATCATGCAGTATTTGTCTGTGTTTGACTTATTTCACTTAGCATAATGTCCTCCAGGTTTGTCCATGTTGTCACAAAATGGTAGGATATTCTTTTTAAGGCTGAGTAATATTCCATTGTATTTATATACCACAGTTTCTTTATCCACTTTTCTGTTGTTAGATACTTGCATTGCTTCCATATTATTGTGAATAAAGCTAGAAAATTATCTTTATCAGCAAGTATTCTAAATTTCATGAACATATTCAACTATGACTTGTCAATCAAAAGAACAATTACAAAATTATATAATTATGGTACTGGGAATTGAATCCAGGGCACTTTACTCCTGAGCTACACCCCCAGCCCATTTTTATTTGGGGACAGGACCTCACCAAGGTGCTGAGACTGGCACCTTGCAGTCCTCCTACCTCAGGCTCCTGAATCACTGGGATAACAGACATGTCTTATCACACCTGGCTAAGAAAAAAAATTTACTCTTAATTCATTTCATTTTAATTTATACCATAGTAGGGAAAATGCACCGTATATGCCAAAATTCACCATGGGGGCCAGGGGCAGTTTGGAAACTCCATAATATTATAAAAATAAAGAAGTAGAAATTTAATCAAAATTATATCCTCTTCTCTGTGATGTATTACATATGCAACCTTTGAAATAACAGTTACTATTCATATGTAATATGATCATAACTATGTATGTTTTAAACCTGTGCATGGAAAAATGACTGGATATGACTGGAGAGGAAATAAAGTCATTTAGATGAGGGTGCTTGCTTTATTCTTAATTTTTGAAAATTTTCATTGAGATAAGTTAGTTTATAATGGAACAAATTTGAATCCAAACAAAATAATTTTATGATCACTGTGTTAGCTTTCTAGAACTGTGACAAAATACCTGTTATATTTCAGATGTGAGGTGTCCCCCAAAAGCTCACGTGTGAGACAATGTAAGAAGGTAGAGGAGAAATGTTTGAGTTATGAGAGCCTTAACCCAATCAGTGAATTAATCCCTTGGTGGGATTAACTGAGTGGTAACTGAAAGCAGATAGGGCATGGCTGGAGGAGGTGTGGCTTTGAGGTATATAATTTGCATCTGGTGAGTGGAGTCTCTCTCTACTTCCTGCTCATAATGCGAACCTCTTTCCTCCGCCACCCACTTCCACCCTGATGTTCTGCCTCACCTGGAGCCCCAAGGAATGGAGCTGGCTATGGACTGAGACCTCTGAAACTGTGAGCCCCCAAGTAAACTTCTCCTCCTCTACAACTGTTCTGGTCAGGTCTTTTAGTCACAGCAGTAAAAAAAAAAAAAAAAAAAAAAGTGCTGATTAAAACAATACCTGAGATGATCAACTTATAAAGAAGTTGGCTCAACTTCTTTGGCTCATGACTTTAGAGGTCTCAGTCTATGGAGGATGGTTGGCCCTGTTGCTTTTGGGTCTGCAGTAAGACGGCACATGATGGTGGAGAGCACCTGGAGGAGCAAAGCTGTTCATCTCATGGTTGCCAGGAAACAGAAACAGGAAGTGGCCAGGCCCCAATATCCCCTTCAAGGACATGCCCTCAGTGGCCTCATTCCCTCCACTAGACCCCCTTTCCTAAATGCCCCACCACCTCACAATAGCTCCATGGGCTGGAAACCAAGCCTTCAATACATGGGCCTTTGAGGGACGTTCCAGAGCCAAACTATAACAGCCATAAAAGTGAGGGTTTTTATTTTTAATATTTCTTTAGATGTTAATGGACCTTTATTTAATTCATTTATTTATATGCAGTGCTGAGAATCGAACCCAGTGCCTCACACATGCTAGGCAAGCGCTCTACCGCTGAGCCACAATCCCAGCCCTATGAAGGTGTTTTTATGAACTG